TTCCATGGCGATCAGTTCAGGACCTTTGTGCACTGAATGAGACATGGTCAGAAGCATTGGAAGCTCGAAGATTATTTATCTCTTCCAACTTGCTTAAGATTATAGAAAATATAGAGCTTTTGCACGAATGCAAACACGATCGAGATGAGCACCTTTATCAAGTTCTTTTAGAAGCCCAAAATGAAAACAACATTGACCCTATTTTGATGCCTAACTACTATGAAGGTGATGAAAATGCAGACGAAGATGATCCAGAACAACTTTTGCAAATGCTCTCCATCGTAAATGAGACCACCACAAACGCTTACTCTGCATTGACAGTTACTCAAGAATAACGCTATGTTCATGATGCATTAGAAGCAATTGATAATAGAGACAGATTTGCACTACTCAATGGTGAGTTAATTATTGTCATATTTCGAAAACATTTAGTTTGATTTTGACTGTACACGTTGTCCGGGCGAAAATAATTATGGTATCATACACGACGTCCACATATTTGTCGTAGCTCGCGAGCATCATACGACCATGATTAAAGAGTGGAAACGTGATATTGAAGCCCGATGAGACGAAACAAGAAACTATTTAATTTCAGGTGAAGATACTCGGGAAGTACGAGATGATGGAACACATATTGAAGTCGTAGGTGCTGAAATTCCAACAAACCCAATTAAAACGAAAGCTACGAGAGTCCTACCTGTAACTGCAACCAATTTGGTTTTATTTCCCACAAAACAGGATATCGACAAACAATTTACACTAAATACTCAGCAAAAATATGCTTTCATGATTATAACTAGTCACTTAGATGGCAAAAATCATGCTTATACCGGTATATTTTCTTGATTTTATTATTGAAAATTTTGAATAGTCTTGATATTTAGATACTATCGATAATCAGCTATTAATATGCATACCTGGTTGTGGTGGTACTGGAAAATCTCACGAGGGAACCTTTTCAACTGTCCAATCGCTTTTGAGTTCGAACTCAGTGTGAAAGATAGACCCCAGTGAGGTATGAAAAGCCCCAAAAGGATAAGTGCCCATAGGCCTTCTGTCCAGAGTTATAGGCATTTTACTGGATTTTTAGCCTATGGCACAGTATATACCAAAAAATCGAATGACAATATTTCGAGCTGAGATTTTATCCAAAGATAGATCTGTGTACCAATAGAATGCCCTGAACATTTCAGCTCAAAATAATGTTTCAATCTCGGGATATTAAACTCCCAAAAACCGCGCATATCCCGCGAATGATGCTAGAATTTTTTGGCTTTTGGGTGTTCAATATCTCGAGATTGAAACATTCTTTTGAGCTGAAATTTTCAGGGCATTCTATTGGTACATAGACCTATCTTTGGGCAAAATCTCAGCTCGAAATATTGTCATTCGATTTTTTGGTATATACTGTGCCATAGGCTAAAAATCCAGTAAAATGCCTATAATTCTGGACAGAAGGCCTATGGGCACTTATCCTTTTGGGGCTTTGCATACCTCACTGGGGTCTATCTTTCACACTGAGTTCGAACTCAAAAGCGATTGGACAGTTGAAAAGGTTCCCTCGTCAGTTAATTCGTGCAATTACCAAGTATTTCCAAGTAACCAAGAGGGGCAAGATGTTGCGTAAACTGGCGCCAACGTCTATAGCAGCAGCTGAGATTGACGGATTAACTATCCATTCATTTTTAGGTGAAAGTCGCAAAAGCACTAAAAAGAAAAATACCCCTGCATTTAGACTTGGCGATACGGAATTGGAAAATGCATGGCGTCATGTGAAGTACCTGATAATCGATGAGATGAGTATGGTAGGACTTAGCCTATTAGCTCGTCTCAATCAAATAGTGAAAACAGCCAAGCACGTAAATTCTGAGATACCTTTTGGTGGTGTCAATGTCATTTTCTTCGGCGACTACCTTCAATATTCTCCTGTTTTGGACAAGCCTCTCTACTATGCCTGCGCATCGATACAGCAAGTTACAGAACGTCTGATAGATATGTTGTGTGCACAGAAGCTTATGTCGGAAATAAACTGCGTCGTTGAATTAACTCAGCAAATGCGAACCGAAGACATAAGATATTTGGAGCTTTTAAATAGATTAACACATTCGACCCGATAGGTCCCACCGGTGGGACCCGCTGTTCTCTGATAACGGATGAACCACAATGACTGACAAAACTTTGCATTTCGTATTTTAATCTCTAAAGATGTTTTATTAGGAAAGAAAAAAACACCAAAAGATGCAGCGTGAAAAGCTCTACAATCTGGAAAGTAAAGTTTATTTTAATTTGTGTATTTTTCTTTTCAACAACACAGCAAAATTCCGTGCGATCAATGTTTGTCAGCAAGTAGTGGGATCCACTTGTGGGATCCATCGGGTCGAATGTATTAAGAAATGGACAATCGTCAATAGAAGATTACCAACTTCTGTGTACGAGAGTCATAGGAAATCCAAAACTTCCAGTATCTCTACAACAAAAGCCATGGAACAAAGTATGCACACTCATTTTCTCTGTGTATCACATTACTTTTCTTTTAATAGTCTCCAATACTGGTTTTTCGGAATACGCTACGCACTCAAATTAACAATAGGGCTGTCTTAAACAAAACAATGGAAATGGGACTTAGCCCAATTGTATGTATTGCTCAAGATTATATTCAAGGAAAAACTGTGGATGCTTTACAATTACGTCAAGCCATACTTGAATTACCTGATAATAAAACAGAACATCTTCCAGGCTATTTATCTCTCGTACCAGGAATGCCAGTTTTACTCACAGAAAACGTTATTACTGAGCTCGGACTGTCTAACGGTACACGAGGAATCTTTCGTCAACTTGTATACGATGAATCACCAGAGGATGTTCGATACCAAGATAAGAATTTTCCATTAAATACCAAATTTATAACGCAACCAAAGTACGCTTTAGTAGAATTTCCTGGTTGCAAACTTGATGACAAACTTCCTGAACTGCAATCCAAGATAGTTCCTATAGCTATTAGTGAACAAACATTCTTATTTGATGCCAAGGAACTTCTTCCAGAAAATGTAGCAAAAGCGGCTAAAATAAACAAGAAAACAACAAAACTCACGATCAAACGTAAAGCACTTCCGCTTATACCCGCATACAGCATGACAACACATAAAAGC